GATACAAGCTGCAGGGCAAAAACCTGGCAGCTCCCATCTGACCCCACAATCCCCTACTGGTGACAGCTCCAAGCTCCATGGCAAATTAGGCCTTCTCATATTACAATTGGAGAAGACAGATTCCATTAGCAGTATCTGAAATTGAGTGGAGAGCTGCACTGTTATCAGACTTGACTCATAAGCACTGCTATTAATCAGAGCTATGATAGCATTTATATATTTCAAGCTATCTGCTGCCGCTGTGATATTCTGCTACAAAGGGTTGATGGGACTTAGGAAAGTGAACAATAGAGCTTTCTGGGAAAAGCAGAGTAAATCAAGAAAGTCTATGACTTCCGCACATTCTGAAGGGATTGCGGTTTACATAAATTTTCTCCCAATTGGAGATTGAGCTCTTCCTCATCTTACACATGGGATTTAGTTGTCACTCAATGGTAACAGCTGTGAAAAGGTGAAGCGGCCCACCGCTCAGAATATTGCCTTCGCTTTTAAAGCAATTAACCCATGAACAGGAGGCTACCTGGTGATATCAAAGGGATTAGGCCAGGCAGTGCATTATTAACATTTCCTTGAACTAATTCTAACTCTGACTAGCTGTCAGAAAGACTCTACAGTCTTAAAAGAGTTTTTGCCCTGCTTTTTTCCCTTCAAAATGAAGCGCTGCTATTTGAGTCTAATATGTCCCTCTACTTATAAAAAAATGCAAATGAATCAAGCTCTTAATATGCTTAACTAGTCTGAGTCAATGCAATTTTAATACAAGTACGAGAGAAATATATGATCAATTAACCAGGGATCAAGACAGATATTCTCCTGAATGGAAATTAATGCTCCAGTACTTTCCATTCTTCTTCAACTACAAAAACTTGGTGACTATTTGTTACTTATGCGTAGTTACTTCAGAAATTAGAAAGAGCTTCACATTATTCTCTATGGCAATAATCTAAAGTACTCTTTGAGCTGGAAAATCCAAATGTCCCTTAAGCAGGAGATTCTCATTCTCTAAGGTATGGCATTTTAATTTTCTATTCTTTATTGAATGGAATCTTAACGGAAGCTATAAGAATAGCAGATGGTGCTCAGAATCAAGTACTCGCTTTCCAAAATTATAATCAAATTAATTTTTAGCAACACAATGTTTAGGAATACATAATTTATAAAAATGACAAAATCCCATGCATAAAATATGGGCACTAAATAATCTGCCAGAACATATTTAAGTACTACTGAAATTGATCGCAAGTTCTTTGTATTAAATAGAAATAGTTTCAATATACCTTTAATTATTGTTAATATTCATATATTCTAAGAAGCCTGCTTGACATTAAGAAATCTGATTTCTAAATACACTATGTTAATGATATTAGGGTTTTTACGCAAGTTTTCTAAGACACTGCCTTCTAGAAAACTGCCTATTTAATGGTTAGTAACTTTTTGTTTTACTTTCTTTAAAATAAGTATTGAATTTTAATTATAAAAACTAAAAGAGTTTTACTTTCAATTCACATGAGTGTTCAAGAAACACTGATGAATGGATTTTTTTTATAGTTCCCATTGGTCATTAATAGTTTGAAAAAGAAATGCTGACTCTCAAGGCTGTTGGGAATATATTCCCTGTCCTGTAACTATCAAAATAAATGATGTAAGATATGTTTTCATTTGAAACCATGAGCAAGTTAAATCTTCCCTGCAATAAAGCATTTGTATACAATGCTATCAATGCACTTTCTTCTATTTTAATGATCAGCACATATTAAATGTAGATGTTTGATGAGAGTGATTTTAGTACTCCTCCTTATTTTACTATATTGGACCTAATTTGATGTTTGCTAGAAAATAACTTTGAAATTCAAGTATTAAGTTAAATGATGTTCATATTTGTGATTTATATTACCTATAACTTCTTATTTTATATTAATAGGGTTTGGGAATTGCAAATAGAAAATAAGACACTTTAAACATCAGATAATCAAAAACTTAAAAGTCATTTACTTCAAAGGTCTTAAAAGGGAAAATCTCAGTTCCTTAAGTCACTAACTTTATTACATAACCTTAAAAACACAGATATGTACACAAATTAAATAAGAATTATTTCATACAAATGAAATGTATTAGATTAAACTCCTAACATAATGCATGCCTTAAAATGCCCCTGAAAGGGACAATATATAAATCAGAAACTGCCACAATCTTACTATTTTTAATTCAATAAATGACAGTGACACATACAGCTTTCAGTGTGCTGTTTTACTCATACACTTTCTACACTAGAGCAAAGCAAGTATAAATGAGTTCTTGCCAACCATTAGGAAAGACTGACAAAAAATGCAGTGTTAATGACATCTTACGGCTTTTAAAAGCAAGAGAAAGATGCAAGAAAAGCAAAAATTACACAGTAATGGGAAACAACGAATAAATTGTTCTTTCAATCTAAGTCATGTTTACTGAAAAAAGGGGAGCCTTTTACATCAACACATTTAAACAGAAATTTGCTTTTGAAATACAATCTTTGTTTAAAAGGTACAGAAGGTCTTTATGTCCACCCCAAGAGCTAAATATAGTGAATGCTATGTGAACAATTACCTGAAAAAAACCTAAACCTGTTAAAAGAATTAATTTACTGCACACCAGTCAGCACTAATCCCACATGTACAGTAATGTTCTCTTAAGTGATGGGAGGGGGAAGAAAGAATAAAACTGTTTCCTGGATCAAAACCCTTCAATATTCAACAACAAAATGGAATGATGATTTAGTCTGTAAATGAATAAAGTAGTGAAATGTCTCCTAAACAAATTCTGATAAAGGAGTCAACCTGTAAAGGAATATATTTACTGTATGCTAGGACTGGAAAAAAGCCATCACTGTAATGGCTGTACAAAAACTGTGTCCTGCTGTTGGGTTTATATTCACAGAAGAAAGGTTTTAGAGGTTAAGTTCAGGTCATACAACAAATGAAATTGTAACAAGCCAGCTGACACTGTATAATGTCTTCTTCCACTCAATCAATAGGCTACTGTTAGTCCTATTACCATAGAGATGGCTTCTCCTTTCTGAAGGGTGTCTATTGTTTGACAAAACAGATTTGCCACTTGAACTAGGTTGTTCCCAAAGGACATGTACCTTGTCAGTTATTTGTATTCAAAATAATGAAGTATTTTCATATTAAAACGTATGTGAGAGATAATATTGTTAGATCCCTTTTCGGAAAGATAGTAACTTTTCCAAAGTACTGCCTTACTAAAACCACTCAAATGCCTGGTTTAGTAATATTAAAGTTGTGATTTCAAACACACATTAGCAAGTATAAAAATTTATCATTAATGCTGCATATTAAAAGAAAAGGGTCACAGGCTAGTGTGCTTATCTAAAAGTCATATAATCAAGCATAAGCATTAATAAAAGCCATTTTTAATTGTGGACAACTCAAAGGAAAATTATAGTCCAAAGCTATGCAGTATTTGCAAAGGTTTTTATGTATGATTTTTATAGTATTCTCATGTGGAATGCCATAAACAATATGTTGACAAACAGAAAATTTTTGGAGATAAATCACTTTACTTGCCTAAGAGCATTTATATAGCTGTATAACATTTAAATAGATGTATGTTACATAAAAGATCCTCTAAAACAAAGATGAACTCTTAAAATAAAAACTAGTTTTCTTTAAATGTCTGTCTTAAAATATCTTTATGAAAATTAATAACTCATACATTTGATATACAACAGATGAATCCCAATTTATACCTACATATTTTTTAAAAAAAGATGATCAGCTTTTCTCTCTATGGAAATACTGACAGATTCTGAATTGCAAAAGACTCAGAAGAAATAATTCTAATAAAATTTATTCTGGTAATTTAGAAAAATAAAGTATTCATAACACTAATGAATCAGAGATATTATTTTTAAAATTTCAAACTTAAAGATTTGGCTATCACTGAAAAAAATGTAACACTAAATAGAAACAAATTAAATAATAAGCATTTAATAAATCATCAATAATTAAAATATTTAAATCTGAAAGCTTTTTACAAATAGATTTAAAAGTAAACATTGAGAGTCATAACTGTTAACTTTTACCTTTCTATAAATAACCAAAAAAGAATTTAGAAAGAATTTAGCTAAAGGGCAGTGTTATGACCATTATATTATAAAATATTAGTCTCCAAAAATTATATTTGAAATTATGTCTACTCAAATTATACTGTGTTTACATACAAAATGATTTTATTTTATTTTTAAAAACTAGAAAAGTTTTTGAAGAAGTGCTTTAATTTGGTTTTTCACATTTTAGGAAGTATAATTTATCTTTTTGCTATTATCCTCTTGGGCATAGATTAGACTAAATTAGGAGTAAAGAAGACAGAAACATCAAAGACAAATAAGTTAACCAATATCCTAAACTAATTACAACTTTTTTAAAGCAAGAGTAGCTTACAAACTAAGAAAGCTTTCCATCAGTAACTAAGTGTGGTCTAGTTTGCCTACCTTCCCTGCAGCTATATTGGAACAAAGTGAACTTAACTAAAACCACATCCCAAACATAATTTTCTTAGTTAACAACCTCATTTCAAAAAGCATACATGTTCATATTTAGAATATAATATATCTAGATTAGATCTGGTGTGAAAGGCAGCTGCCCATCAGCAATGCTGTGAGTAATTAAATGGTATTTACCATTTATCAAAAGATGAACTTCATATTGTTGAATTAAACTGGCCTATCTGCATCTTCACAAAATGACAAACCTCATTAGTTCTGCCTAACCAGAGAACTGTGATAATGAACCAGTGACACCTTCACCCCATTGTATAAAGCAGAACCAGCCATGTAATCATGTGAGGGGCCAAATGCATATGAAATTACTGTAAATGAAGAAAGTGAAGTCACGTGAGTTAGGGAAACCACTCAAGCAACAAAAGATTTTTTAAATGTATGTAGTTGGCCATAAGAAATCCACATCTCCAAATACTAAAACTTATTAACTAATCAACTTTACCTGAAAACGGTGAAAAAAAGTAATGATGCAGCTACTGCTCCAAATAAGCCACAGAGAAGATTGACTCGGTAGGCAACTGAACCAAAAGGAAAGAGTGTAATTGCTAGTTTAGCCACCAGTGTGAACAAAGGATAGCCAGGAGGATGGGCAACCTATGGAAAAATAGCAACAGTTAGAAGACTTTCATCTACGAAAAGAGTCACACCGACTTTAATTGAAAAGTATAGCCCTTTCTCAGGCAAGTAGAAAGATTAAGTGCCAAAGACTAAATGTTTAAATAGTGGTTTCCTATTGTAATCCTCTTGTGCCAATACAAATAAATATTTTCTTTAGTGGATTTGGCAGTGTCTATCACATGGTGTGTCACCTCGAAAAAGGGTGACATATTTCATTGTCAGTTCTCAAGCAGTTTGTTCTCTAGGTTCACAGTACATTAGGGTCATTTAAAAGGCTCTTGAAAAAAAGCAGGTTCTGAAATATCGTATTGGTTAGAAAGTTGAAAGACCACACTGCTATGGGATTACCACCATGCTGACAGTCGTAAGGTCTTGCCTAAAGGGATCATGCACCATAATAAAGTTTATTAAATAATAAACTTATTAAAACTGTTAACCCGATTTATTTTATTCTCCACAGCTTATACAAAATTTGGGGTGATAATAAGCCAGCCACTGTATATATAGTAAAGGCTTTGCTTTATAATTTAGTTTAATTGGATTTAAAACTTAAAGTAAATTGTCACGTACTGTACTTATAAGTTACTAAAAACTAGGGTTTGAAAATAAATTAATCTACTTTACTCCATGCTTAATTAAACTTTCTTAATTCCTAAAACTGTTAATGAGAGCATTGATTAAACAATAAAACTAATACTTACTCCAAGCTCATGTGCGGCTGTGATCAGTTCCCCTGTGAAAAAATAATGTAAAACCAATAATTACTATTAGAGAATGACACTCCTCCAAAGTTTTCAAAATCCAAATGCTTGCATTGGGGTTTTGCATTAATTTGACTGGATAAAACTGTAAATCTGTAGAGATTTAACAGCATGAAATAGTCAAAGAATATTTTCTCTGTTAGGTCTTATTGAACAAACTATGTTTGATAGTTTTCAATAACTGGTCAGTGGAAATACAGGTAAATTTCCATTAAAAAATGTTTATTTTCCCTCTTGAAAGTCATATTTACTTGAAAATACACAAATACTTTTAGAGAGCATTAGTATAATGTGCTGTATCGTCTCTCAAGAATTTAGCACAATAGTCTACAAAGATACAATTTATGTCAAATGTGCAAAGGTCTGAAGTCTGATAATTTATAAAATGTGCCATATAACCTTAATACTGGCATTTGCATACATTTAGATATTTTAAAACAATTTCCACCTAGGTTCTTTTGATAGGTTCTGCTATAATACATTTTTTTTCCAATCAGTAAATTATTATATGCTTTATAGTTCCTCATTGTTAGCATTATTTCTAGAATTATGATGCAGTAATTCAGTGCTTATTTGTTATTAGTTTAAGTATCCAGAGCATAAGGACTATTTCTGACTCATCTCTATACACTGTAGTATATATTAATGTAAGAAATCGGTCAATATTGATGATTTGCGATTAGTATTACATGATAAGAAAAGTACTAATGTCTGTTTTTTGTACTTCAGTAGGTACCAATACTCTGCTTTTAATTTCTACTGCCCCAGGTACAATTAGACTTTACTATCTCTGGCCTGGACTTCAGCAAGACTTGACCAACCCACTTTATCTGCATACTGAAATTGCTTAGTATGGCTTACTATACTTATTAAGACAAATAAGCTGGATTATATCTCCAGTATAAAATTTCTCAATGACTAGTCTCTACTTACTGAATTAAGTTCAGATTCCTCAGCAAGACATTCAACTCTAGGTTGCAAGGTCCCTTTGCCAGGCTTATCCATCAATCCAGGCTCATCTCAGTGAAATCTGAATACCCAGTGTTCCTCTGGAGTGGTCTTCTTTGGCACCTCTTAGCACTCATTTTCTCACCATGGAATATTTCCCCAGCATTCTCTCCTAAATCTTTCAAGGCCTAGTTCATTCAATTGCCACCTCCTCAGTGACACCTTTCCTTACACAACTCTCTCCAGCCTCCCCCATTAAAAATAATCACTTCTTTCTCCTTACAGAGCTTGCTTGAGTCTGTTTAGCACTTTAGATTGCCTTATATTCTGGCTAGTTATTTTCATTTCTCTCTCCCACTAAGTTTAAAAACATTATCTTAGCCATTTCATGATCCTGCCAAGACATCCCCATCTCCTCCTCCTCTGGCCACACAATCTAACTCAAGCCCTGAACATAGAACTTGATCAAAAGACATACCACATTGTCATACTTGCTACTCAAGACACCTACCTCATTCTTGGGTAAATGACTGCAAAATAGAAGTCCTTTAAGGGTTCCAAAGACATCTACTGCCCACTTAAGTCAATTACCTGAGGACTTTTTTGTTTTGTTTTGTTTTGCACTGGGGGTTGATCCCAGGGATGCTTTACCACTGACCTAATCCCCACTTTAGGACATTAAAAAAATCTCTGGAGATACTCATGAGTAGAAATTAAGGTACTTTTTGAATCCCAAATATTTCTTTTTAAATAAATTATTTATGGTCTAAAAATATTCAGGATAATTTTTCCTTTTGTAACTACTCTCAAGTATAGTTTTCTCCTTAACAGGTTAGCTCTTACGTCTGCTGTTCCAAACTCTTTTGATCATTTTTTTTTCTTGTTGTTCTTATATCTGTGTGACAAAGTATGAGTTCAAAATTTTGCAATCATTATTCATTCTCTTCCATTTATTTTTTTGTACTGGGGATTCAATCCACAGGGCATTTTACCACTGAGCTACATCCCCAGTCCTTTTATTTATTTATTTTTTATTTTTTAGACTTTTAGATTAGGACTAAGTTGCCAAGGGTACCTTCAAACTTGTGATCCTCCTACTCCTGCTTCAGGAGGATATGCCACAGAACCCAGCTGTCCTGACCCTTTAAGCTGGTGTTTCTTCAAAGTTAAGTCCTACTTACATTGGAATTACATGATCATCGTTTTTGATGGAAGATTTCTTGATCTTACTCAAAAACTTGGGTCCCTTTAGGACCAAACTTGATCAAAAGACATACTACACTGTCATACTTGCTACTCAAGACACCTTTGGAACCCAAGTTTTCCAGGCAACAATGGGACCCATAGTTTGTTATCTAGGAAGCAAACTGGTGCAAGCTCAGAGTTGTCTACAGATGCTTAATGTTTATAAAACCCAGTTCCTTTCATATTTCTTTTTTCCTATTTCTTAAATGTTAATTATACTGTTATAATTTAACAAAGCCACACAATGCCATGGGTTTATGCAGTATAACTTAAGACTTATTGGGAAGAAGAATACATGCATTATTTTGTTTGAGATGTGTTCTGTTTATTGATAAGAAAATTATTTCGTAAATATTCAAGTAGAACAGTACACTCAACACACAAACAAAATGATCAAAGATATGATTAAACAAAGTTTCCATACTGTTATATAGATGAAAAACAGTTTACTTATTCCCCAAAATAAACATAAAACTATTAGAAGCAACCACTATTGAGTATCAAATTAAGCAAATGAGAACACCTAAAAAAGTTTGGGGAATATATACCTTTATTCTTTTGAGGAAAAATACTTCATTAATAAAAACAAGATCGCAGCCATAGGTTTTTTTTTCTTTCTTTCTTTTTCAGTACTGAAGATTGAATCTAGAGCCTTGTGCAGAGTAGGCAAGCACTCTATCACTAAGCTACATCTCCAGCTCTTATTTATGATTTAAAAATTTTGAGAGGATCTCAATAAGTTGCCAGGATGACCCTGAACTTGTGATCATCCTTCTCAGCTTCCAGAGTAGCTGGGATTACAGGTATGAGTAAACAACCATAGATTTTAAACAGGCTTTAAATATTATTACATCTGTGATGGTGGATGTAACAAAGTATCTCATAAAATTCTTTGACAAAGTATAGGTTACCAGTGCCTGTTCTAAAGGCCATCTACTTGGGTTTTTTCCCTGACAGCACTGACTTACTGTGACTCTGGACATAGCTTAGCCTTGGTTTTCTCATCTACAAGAGGAAGGTAATAATAGTACCTACCTCAGAGTACCTGGGAGGGCTAAAACATCAGTCCATAAAAAGCATTTGGTATAGTTAGTGCTGGCATAGTTAGCGCTCACTAAATGTTCTTATTCATCCTATCCCATACTAAGGCTCAGACAACCATAAGTAGCTGTTTTAAAAACAGGTAATAAAACTATCTAATCTTTGAATAGTGCACTCCAATGTTAAAACTCACATCCACAAAGCTACTCCCACTATTTAATATAAATCTTGGAAACCTCCATTCCCTCGTACACTAATGAACCACTGAATAGGACCTGAAAGAAATTGGAAAGGTAATGAATAGAAAAACAGAATGTTGGGGAACTTCAATGTGGTAGGCAGCCTTGAAGACAGCTCCCAATAATCCCCAACTCCTGGAATTCTCACTTGTGTAATCCTCTCCCCCTTGAATGTGGGCTGGATTTACTGAGTCCCTCGAATAAAACAGGGCAATGGCATAACACTTCCAGGATTAGGTTACAAAATGACAGGTGTCAGACAGAGGTGCCCTATCTCTTTCTTTTGACATGTCAGCTATTTTATAGAGAGAACCAAATAGCTTGGAACTAGGTTGAGTTTAGAAGCAGATTTTCCTCAAATGGAGCCTCCAGTGGACTGTGGCCCCAGACCACACCATGGCTGCAACCTTGTCCTACATAGTGCACCTGGCTAAACTGCACCCATCTTCTGAATCTACCCCAATCGGGAGATAATAAACGTCTGCTGCTTCTAGCCACTAAATTTGGGGTAATATGTCATCCAATAAAAGATAAGTAGTACACCATTTCTTGAGGATAGAGATTTACTGCCTAAAGTTACAGCACTGTTCTGAGTCAATTACTGCCAGTTATAAGGCATTACTTGGATGATCCACTTAATTTGGTAGTAAAACAGAAACAAAACCGAGACTTTGTTTCTAGTCTCAAATACAGAACAAGAATGAATGTGAAAGGGCCCAGGAGTCGTGCTTTTCCTTTTATTAGAAGATGCTTAAAGCCACATCTGATCCCACTTTTTTAAAGGGTTCTCCAAATATTCTGCACGATTCTTTGTCAATACTCTGGTTTCAACTAAAATATCACCTCCTCAGAAGACTCTCCTGACGAGCTATTCTGAGACTCTCTCTCTCAGTCACGTTTCCCTCTTATGTCTCCAGGATTTGTAACTTGTCTCTATGCACGCTAGAATTCTCTCAGGGAATCCATTCGCCCTTACTGTTATTTCCTTTTGTCTGAAACACGAGGGCTCGTTAAGTAACATAAGCGGACTAAAGGGGAATGGTAAGTAAAGTCAGGGTCGGAAAAAACGACCTGAGGAAGTGGGTAGGTCGGTGAACCCCCTCTCGAGAAACCCACAGGAGCCCTTTCTCTAAAGCCCAGGAACTAACGAAACCAGAGTCACTGGCATGGAAGAACTGGTTCCAAAGCATGAACCCCGCTCTGCAAACCAGCGGGTGCATGGGAGGCCCGAGCCCACTGGACTGAACCAGGAGCGGCGGCCGCGGCTTCCCGCAGTGGGACCAGGGGAGAGGGCGGGAGGGGCGGCCTGAGAGTACTTTACCCGAGTCTCCCCCCGGCACCGAGGCGGGCAGCGTGAGGGTGAACACTGAGGCTACAGCGGCGAACACCGTGACGCCGCCGCCGAGGCCCCCGGAGCGCCGCAGCCCTGCTCCGGCTGCCCGCCCCCCACCCCTGCCGTCGCCATGGAGACCCATGGATTCGGACGGACAGAGGACGCGGCTGGCCCACAGACTCCGCGCGGAGCCCACAGTCCCAGCGGAGAGGCGAGCGCAGCCCGCGCTGCAGCTTCCGGGTCGAGCCTCAGCGGCCGGGCGCATCTTTCCCGCCCGGTGGGGGCGGAAAACCGGCCAGGCATGCGAGAGCCAGGTCTGGGAACTTTCTAGTCACCATCACGAGGGGGCACGTACATCCTTATCTTGTGCTCTAAAGTGACCAATCACGGTGGGGAGCATCTCTGAGGAAAGCGAGCCTGTACCGTTCCTGTGGCAATTGCCGCCCCCTGCCATACTGACTTGGTCGGTTCTGACAGAGACAGAAGCGGAGTTGAAAACCGCAAGCAGGGAAGGGCTGCTTCTGCCACCTGTGGTGTGGGGTGGAACTGCACGAAAGGAGCTAGCCAGGAGCTGATGGAGACCCTCAGTATCACCACCTTGAAGGCACCGAGTCCAGCCAACACCGTATGGGAGAGTTAGGAAGTGGAGCCTTCCCCATTTTAGACCTGAAATGACTGTCAAGAACTTAATTGCAGCCCATGAAAGTACCTGAAGCTGATGACCCAACTAAGCTAGACTGCTGTCTCAGGGACATAATAGATGTTGTGAGTTTTTTTGTTTTGTTTTGTTTTATATATATATTGTAGTTGGATACAATACTTTTATTTTATTTATTTTTATGTGGTGCTGAGGATCGAACCCAGCGCCTAGCGAGCGCTCTACCACTGAGCCACAACCCCAGCCCCTAATAGATGTTGTTTTAAACCAATAAATATGGGGTAATTTGTTAATCGACAGTAGAGAACTAAGATAGGCTGTCTTCTATTTCTTTTCCAAAAGCGCATGCAAGTAAATAATTCTGAGTGAACCAAGCATGTATTTCTTTCTTTCCCTTTTTGTCCATTTCATGTTTTGCTTTTGATCTTTATAAAATGATAAACTTTTATTTCAAAAGAGAATAATTCTTTGCCCATATTTGGGAGGTAGAAATCAGAGCTGGGAATAGAAATTTGGGAGTTATGCATATATGGATGATATGACTAAATTGGCAAAGGCATAGTGTATGTAACAAGAACAAGGTTGAAGTTTAATGTTAGCCGGTGTCTTTAGTTAGGGAATGGCAGAAGAGACAAGAGTGGAGGAGAGTAAGGTGACATAGAAGCTAAGAAAGAAGTAATGTCAATGACGTTTATGTAGTCGGGATTTGACACAGGTAAAGGATGATGAAGAAGGGCACATCTAGATTTCATGGGGTTTGAATTTAAACAATTTGGAGAATTCCTTAAACAAACAAATACAAAATGGCAGTCACAAATTTAAGTTCAAGGCCTATTCTTTTGGAGCTGTGAAACCTAAGTTTCTTTAGATTCCTGGTTAATTTTTTGGTTTTTGAAAATGAAGAAATGTAGTTCTCTGTAGCTGACTCCAAATCTCATTAAACCCATGTTGTTCCTATTCTATTTATTTTTATGTAGTGCTGAGGATCAAACCCAGTGCCTCATATGTGTGAGGCAAGCACTCTACCACTGAGCCAGGACCCCAGCCCTGATCTTTCCTATTTATAAAACATTTTTTTCTCTGGGCTCCAGTGACAGCACGCTGCTTTGGGTTTTCCTTTACCACTGGCCTGTCTTCCCTGGTGCTGCTTCCATCAGAAATCTAAATGATGGACTGTAGCAGGGCTATTTTAGACTTTCCTTTCTTTCTGCCTTCTTTCCCAAGGATTTTATTGAAGATTAAATAGTAACATCAAAGTAATATTTCTCAAAACTATACTTCTTCACTGGGCGTGGTGGCACATGCCTATAATCCCAGTGACTCAGGAGGCTGAATCAGGAGGATGGAAAGTTTGAGGCCATTCTAGCAACTTAGCAAGGCCCTAAGCAACTAAGAGAGTCCCTATCTCAAAAAAATAAAAAGGGCTAGGGATGTGATTCAGTGCCCTGGATCCAATCCCTTGTACCAAATAAATAAATAAGGGGCTAGGCACGTATCTCAGCGGTAAAGCACCCCTGGGTTCAATCCTAGTATCAAAAAAAAAAAAAAAAAGACACACACACACACAAAAAAATAATAAATAAATAAATAAAACTACTCCTCAATTTCTTCTTTATGCTACAAAATACCCATGTGGACCCTGACTTCTCTATGTTTAAATACTTTTTAAACCTGGTGAATTTTGTCTTTTTTCCACTGTCTATAAAATAGTGCCTGACACAAAGTAGGTGCTTGAATATTTATATAATAAATGAAAGAATGAACAATGAGAGGCCACACATCCATCACAGACTTCATTAGGCTACTAGTAACAGACCCTGCTACAGTGGCTCAAACATCTAAACATTTATTCTCTCATGAAAAAGATGTTAGAAGCCTGGAGGAATTCAGTCTGATTCTGGTTTGGCAATTTTCTGTTGCCCTAAGGACAAAACTCAGGTCTATATATCTTTGTACACCATTCCACTCAGTTTATACCCTCAAGGTTAAGTCCTGACTTACTGACCTAAGATAGCTGCTAATGCTCCAGACATTACATCTCTACTTGAGGAGAAAAGAGAAATGGAAAGAGCTGGGCATGTTCCATCTTTTTAAATTCAGAGTGTTCTAGAAGCTCCATTCTATAATTCTACTACATTTTCATTGGTCACAGTTGAATAACAGGGCACTCCTAGAGGCAAAAGATTCTGAAAAATTAACTTTTCAGCTGGACAACTTGTCCAGGGCTCTATTACAAAGGAAAAAGAAGAGAATGGATATTGGGAAGCAACTAGCAGGTGTAGTTGGATTTGGTGACCAGGAGGTGTTTCAACCCTGAAAGTTCAAGAGGTTCAGTTTCAGTAGAGTAGTAGATATAGAAACCTGATACCAGTGGGTTAAAGGTAGGAAATGAAAGAAGTAGAAAAGAAATATATTTGCAAAAAGCCTGACAGTGAAGGGAAAGAGTAGTATGGAAATCCACGGCGATTGAAGCTCCAAATAGGTCAGTTTCATTTTTCGTTTTTATTTTTGTAATTCCAATAAGTATTTGGAAAGAGACAGTGATGACGTAAAGATGTTCAGGACATTAGGGGGGATAGGACCAAGGAGGACAAAAGAGAAAGAAAGGTAGAAGGTAGAAAATATTAAAGGGAGAGAGAGTGGACTTGACCCTGGGCAGACGAATGAGATATGAAAGTATTATTTACTTTTTGTTTGTGCACTACTTCATTCCACAGTGATTTAGATTTCCACTATAATACAAGCTGTACGGTAGAGAAATATGGAAACAGAACTAGTAGAAAATATGTGACATTTATGACAGATTGTCTTATGTGATTGTGTCTGGCTAAGGAAGTCTGACATTCCTGGGGAAGGTCATCAGGAAGGGCAGGCTGGAACTTTTAGACATGTTCTTCTTCATTAGAGAACCTTCAACTCTGCTCTTTAGGCCTTTCAACTGATTGAATCAGGTCTCTCCAATTATCTGCCCCTTATAATGTTAACTGACTATGGATTTTGATCATATGTACAAAATACCTTTACAGCAACACCAAGATTATGATTTGTTTGAAAAGTTAGGGATTGTTGTCAAGACAAGTTATCATATCCACTGAGTATCACAAAGGCCAGAAAACACATGCATTAGAAACAGAATATCAGGCTGAAGGAAAATAAATACAGGTTGAATTTCCCTTATCTGAAATGCTTGGGACCAGAAGTATTTCAGAATTGAGAGATTTTTGGATTTTTGAATAGTTGCATACACTTTACCAGTTGAACATCCCTAAACTGAAATTCTAAAATCCAAACTGCTCTAAAATCCAAAACTTTTTTGTTGTTGTTTGTGGTTTGTCTTTTTTTTTTTTTTTTTAACTCAGGGGCACTTAACCACTAAGCTAAATCCCCAGTCCTATTTTTGTATTTTATACACATATATATATTAGTTGTAGTTGGATACAATACCTTTATTTATTTATTTATTTATTTATTTATTTATGGTGCTGAGGATGGAACCCAGTGCCTCGCACATGCTAGGCAAGCACTCTACTGCTGAGCCACAACCCCAGCCCCTATTTTTTGTATTTTATTTAAAGACAGGGTGTCATTGAGTTGTTTAGAACCTCGCTTTTTGCCGGCTAAAATCTAATTTTTTTTAACCTTTATTTTATTTATTTTTTTAATGTGGTGCTGAGGATCGAACCCAGGGCGTCGCACATGCTAGGCGAGTGCTCTACCACTGAGCCACAACCCCAGCCCTAAAAATTCAAATGTTTTGAGTTTCCTATCAACACCCCAAAAGTTTTGAATTTCAGAGCACTCTAGATTTTGCATTTTTGGATTAGGAATGTTCCACCTACATAGCTCTGTAGTCCTATGATATCCCACATTTGGCTCTAGCAGTCTTGAAAATCAAACAAAAGGGATAGTTGGTATTGCCTCTCAAGTCCCCATTGAAAGACTTTACTTTCCCTGGTATTTATGAGAGGCAACTATTGAAACCCAATGGGAGGACTCCTCCTTCCTACTTGGCAGAGGCTGCCCACCAAGTCTTCCTGCTACTTCCCCAGTTAAGAGGGGTAAGAGTACCTCATTACTTTGGCCCTTGTGGCTTCCACTGAAACTACATTGTAGGTGAGGGCAAGGAAGGTGGCCTCCCTTTTGTTGGATGGTAAAAGTCTTGACTCTCCACTAGGCCCCTCTGACCCCACTCAGCAGGGAAGGAAAAACACACCTCATTATTGCTGGGGGTAGGGGCAGAAGGCTAGAAGTAGTCTCCAATGATCCCATCAAAAGGGATCTCATTACTACACAACTCAAATGAAAGCTCTGGTTCCTTCTTCTGCCTTCTTTGACACTAACCAGGTGGGCATATTGGGGCCCCTGGAGCGGATAGAAATCTAGACTTCTTGCTCCGTATTTGTCAAAGTTTTCACTTTGGTTTTGGCTGTTGTAAAGAGGTTATTTTCTAAAAGTATCTGATTTGGCCCTTTCCTGCCTGGTTCTTTAGCTAGAGAAAGCAGCCTTTTGTTGGGGGATTTTTTTTTTTTTTTTTTGGTACTGGGGATTGAACTCAGGGACACTCAACCACTGAGCCTCATCCCC